CTGTATTGTGGGTGCTGACCCTGGTCGTCTACAATGCAGTGTATGGTTTTAATGAGAATGTACTCTATGGGCTTATGATTTGAAGACTTGGTCCCCGATTGTTGGTGTTGTTTGGGATGTCATGGGAAGGTGTGGCCTTGCTGAAGGAAGTGTGTCACTGCTCAGAAAAGTAGACTTGGAGCATTTATGGCCTCATCCTATTACAAGTTATCTTTCTGTGTTCGAGGATCATGACTGAAGATGCAATCTTCCAGTTTCTTGGTCCTGCTACTCACTGCCATGCCTTCCTGACATGGACTCTTATCCCTCCAGAGTCATAAGACAAAATAAACTATTTTTTCCATAAGTTGCCTTTGGTCATGGTGTTTTATCACAGAAAATTAATAACAGCATATATACAAATACAAACAGTAAGTGCTAATTAATCCCTGAGCCATCACTCCAGCCACCAAGTTTAGGTGTTACATTTGTGTGGCAAATTTGATTTCAAATCTCTCTTGGACAAGCCATTTTCTGCCTGTGTTAAGAAGATGCTATCATGGAGAAATGAATAGGATGGCTTATGGGAGATATCATTCTGTAAATATGTTTCTGTATTGCTTAATGAATAAAGCCCTGTTGGCCAATAGGAAAGCAAGATAGGCGGGACTAGGGGAGAAAGAGGATTCGGGGAGATGTAGAAGGAGATTCAACATGTAGAGACTTGAGAGAGCAGAACTCCAGACCCACTCTTCGGTAGATAAGACCACGTGGAAATACTTAGATTGATAGAAATAGGTTAATATTTAAGACAGAGATAGCCAATAAGAAATGCTAGTAACAGGCCAACAGCTTTATATCTAATACAGCATCTCTGTGTGTTATTTGGGGCTGATGTAGCTATGGGACTAGGCTGGGGGGGAAACTGCTCGTAACAGATGGCACTTAACAAAGGCATCACATGGTGCTGCAGAGAAACAGATTCACAGACCTTTCTTTCACTCCCACAGCCATTCAGGTTTCTGAGTGTGTTGCGGAAGGGAATCAATCAGTTGAGGGTGCATCTTGTTCTAGCAGCAAGAATAAAGGCAGGAGCCAGGCACAAGGTCCTGTGTGTACCCACCTTAAGATCTGAGATAGATCTGATCCAATTCTAAGCAGGAGCAAAGTCCAAATCACTGACGTTTATTCCTCTCATTACTTGCCCTGTGTGCAGAGGTTCCACTGGCCCCAGAACTGAGGAGAAAGCACCACCAGCCAAATGATTATCAGCGCCTCTAACTGAGAACATCGTCAGAGGTAGGTAAAGAGTAAGGTCTGGGACTGTAGGTGAGCCTGTAGAGACTGATTTGGGGTTACTTAAACCAGTGGTTTTCAATCTTCCTAATGCTAGAATTAACGATGTGCACCATCACCTGACAAGCCCATCTTTTCTTGAGTTGACTTTTTCTGGCATGTTTGTGATGGTAATGAGAAAAGTAACAAATACAAATGCAGAACATTTCTTCAAATATTTATAGAACATTTACATTTTGGTTTTTTAGAAATGTCCATTAAATTCATTCAATTATATCTCCCCCCAAAACTGTCCATTTATTCTTAATTCATTAATTAATTTTCCTAGCCAAATCACAATTTCTCCTCCATCCCTCCTCCTCTCCCTCTCCCTTCTCCCAAGCTCCCCTCTCCTTTCTTTACAGAAAAGGGCAGGCCTCCCATATCTATCAGCATCAGAGGGGCTTCACCCAGCAACTGATGGGAACAGATGCAGTGACACATGGTCAAACATTAGGTGGACCTTGGGGAATCCTGTGGAAGAGGGGGAGGAAGAATTTTGGAAGCCAGAGGGGTTAAGAACACCACAAGAAAGCACACAGAATCCACTAACATGGTCTCAGGGGCTCACAGAGCCTGAACTGCCAACCAGAGAGCCTGCATGGGATTGACTTGAACCCTCTATTATTCCATTGTCAGATGCATGATTGGCAAAGACTTCTCTCCCGTTCTGCAGGTTCTCTCTTTGCCCTAGTTATTTTTTTTTTCATTAGCTGTGCAGAGTTTCTTAATTTCATTTTTTAGTTCTTGAAATTATTTTCTGTGATGCTAGACTCCTCAGAAAGGTTCAGCCTGTGCCTGCACCTGCACCTGCCTGCACCTGCCTGCACCTGCCCCTGCCTGCACCTGCACCTGCCCCTGCACCTGCCTGCACCTGCCCCTGCCTGCACCTGCACCTGCCCCTGCACCTGCCTGCACCTGCCCCTGCCTGCACCTGTGCCTGCACCTGTCTGTAGCTACTTGTCTGTGCCTGCAGCTGCACTTGCCTGTGCCTGCGTCTTGAAGTAATGTTCCTCTGTTATTCTCTGGTGATTTCAGAGTTTCAGATTGTTTTGTTAAAGACTTTTTCTTGTTTAAATTTTAAGTTAGAATGCAAAGTAATGGGCTTAATTATGCCACTTTCATGCATTATACTTTATTCTACTTTCCTCTCTTCCCCTCAGCAACCCCCACCTTCCCTGTGCCCTGCTGCTTTCTGATTGGTTCATCTCTTCTCCACAAATACCCTCCTCTTCTGTTGTCATGTTGCATTAACTCTTCCCCTCTCATGATCCCCTTTCTAATTTTAACACACACACACACACACACACACACACACACACACACACACACACGATTTTTAAAATCTAGATTCCACCTGAGAAAGAAACAACACAGTAGATTTTTCTCAGTTTGGTTTATTTTGCTTAATGTAGAGACTTCCAGTTGTGTACATTTTTCTTTAAGTGTCATGCTTTTACTTTTATAGAGAATAAAGAATCTCACCGTCTAGGTACTGTCTAGTCTTTATTTCTTCACCTGTTGATGGACACCTGCATTGCTTCCATCTCATTTTCCTTTGCCTCTTTTTTAGACAGAGTCTTTCTATAATTACATTATCCCCCCTGCCTTTTCCTCCCTCCAATCATTCCCAAGTGATTCCTTGCACTCTTAAAAACACAACATCTTTTTCCTTAATTGGTAATATCTATATTGATATATATCAATATATATTTCTAAGTTTTTATAAATAAAACCTGCTATGTATAATGTTACTTGCACGCATGTTTTCAGGGCTGACCCTTTAGTATTGGATACCAATTGGTGTGCTCATCCCTGGGGAAGACTATTTTTCCCATTCTCAGCCTTCTTCAGTTGCTTGCAGTTCTTTGTCTAGGACTGAGGTTCTGTGAGCTTTCCCCTTCTACACTGGCATGTCTATTGATGTCATTCTTGTTCAGGTCCTGTTTGTCAGCCATCTGGTAAGACTTCATGGTTGCCCTGGTATTTCTAGGAGACACACTCTATCACAGAACGCTTCATCTTCCTCTGGCTCTTACAGTCTTCCCAAACCCTCTTCTGTGATAGTCCCTGGGCCTTAGGTGCAAGAGCTGTGTTGTAGATGTATCCGTTGTGATTGAGATCCCGAACTCTGCTTTTTGATAAGCCATGCTTTCAGCAATGTTCTCTGTTGCAAAGAAAAGTTTCTTTGCTAGTAAAAAAGATACAATTATACAAAGATAAATATTTGGAATATAGTTATGGATTGTACAGGTTTAGTAAAGTGGCAGTTTTAGGTTCTCCTCCAAGATCCATGAATTCATGAGCCCTGAGTATCAGCTAGATTTCCAGTACCAGGCATGATTTCCCTTTTGTTGAGTAGGTCTTAAGTTCAATCAGAGCTCTGTTGGCTATCACCAAGGTATGTGCAGGAGAGCTGCACCCATAAAATCTCAACAGTACAGTTGCCTACACAAAACTGGCACAGTGGTAATACCAATTGACATGCCAGCGTGGAAAGGGGAACTCTCACAAGGCCCATCCCTAGATGAAGAGCTGTAGGCAATTAATGGCTACTGAGGGACAGGTTATTCCAACCTCCAAGTGGTTATTCAACCTCAGGTGATCATCCCTAAGTACGTACATATAAACAACACCAAAATGAACCTAGCAGGTTGTATTATATATTTATCTATATATGTGCATAATAATAATAATAATTAATGAAAAAGAAGCCATGAATTTGGGAGAGAGGAAGGTGAGGGGGCATGAGATGGGTCAGAAGGAGGAAAGGGAAGGGACATATAAATGATAAAAATACAGTATACATATGTGTCACATTTAAAAAATAAATTTAATAATTAAGGAATATTTTCTAAAGAAAGTAACTTGTTACTTCATATGTTAACTAAAAAAATTAGATATAAAAATAAAAAAGGAGGGCTGGAGAGGTGGCTCAGTAGTTAAGGGCAGCTTCTGTTTTCTCAGAGGACCTGAGTTAGGGTCCCAGCACCCACACAAGACAGCTTACAACCATATGTCACACACAAACATATGTAAATAAATTTTTTAAAATGGGGGCTCAGAGGTTAAGAGGATTGGCTGCTCTTCCAGGGGTCCTGAGTTCAATTCCCAGCAACCACATGGTGGCTCACAACCATCTGTAATGAGATCTGGTGTCCTCTCTGGTGTGCAGACATACATGCAGACAGAACACTGTATACATAATAAATTTTCTTAAAAAATAAAAAAAAAAAAATAGAAAGGATGCTACATAATTTCAGTTTTATCAAGACAGTTTGTTTATATACATTTGTCCATATAAATGATGGTAGCCTATCACTAGTATAATGGAATTGGTAGTTAGATTTTATTTCCTTTTTGTGACCTTTTAAATATTTAAATTCTGTAGTATTTTATATGTAGACTTTGTAAGTCTCAAGCCATAACTTGAGTTATCTTTTACTCAAGGAAAGGAAGAATATATGATACATATTTTCTTCAGCAAAGGGAAAAAGTGAAGTACTTGATAGCTATCATTTGGCCTAGGTGGAACTCAGATGCAATCTGGTGGAGGGTGAGGCTTCTAACTAGAAGACTGAATATTAAATAAACCCATAGGTTCTTCCCCGTGGTTCACACCTTTATTTCCCAACTTATATGTTTGATCTCCAGCAGCCCCTGGGAAGGAAAAAGCAAGAGTCTCTGGACACTTCCGGTCAGCATTATGAAGCCCTTGCTGCTCCTGTTTGCAGTGCTCCTCTGCATGCTGCTGCTGCCTGCCCTGGGCGGGAATAAGAAGAAGAAGTACTCTCGTACGTAGTGAGGGCACCCTGTGAGCCAGGGCCAGGGAGGAGCTCACTTCTGGGCAAGGGAGTGGGTGTCATGTCTGGCATTTTGATTCACTTCTGCCTTTCCAGACCAGCTGCTGGAGAATGTGAGAAATCCTCCAGCTGGGAAACTTCCCAAACAGCAGCATTCATAATACACCCTGAGTAGTGAAGAGAGGTTACTTTCTAGTCCCTGTGAGGACTGAGAGCCAAAACAGAGCTCCCTTCCTCCAAACTTTACAGCAGTTCTGTGATTCCTTTCATGAGAACCAAACGGGTATTTGTTAAAGAAACTTGAAAGGATATACATCTTTTAGAATACGAGAACATGCCGGAGATCTTAGCGGGGCAAAGCTGTCGATGCTATGAGAAGAGAAGAGAATTAGTGGAGGGGATGAAAGAAGGAAGTGGGTTGGGAGATACGGATTTGGAGAGAGGCCAGTGGAGTGGTTTAGTGGGTAAAGTGCTTGTGAGAAAAGCCTGAGGACCTGGCTTTGAACCTTGGAACCCACACAAACACAGGAGAGAACCAACTCCAGGGACCTGTCCCCTGTCCTCCACATGTATGTCATCAAACAGTCAGAAGGACGGAGTATAGAGGAGACCTGACTCAAGCCAGGCATGTTAGGCGTACCTGTAACCCCAGCACTTGGGGGGTTGAAGCAGGGGTTTGGGGGCATCTTCCTCTGTATGTGAGCTCAAGGATAGCCTAGGCTGCATGAGAGCCCATCTCAAACAACAACAGCAACACAAACCAGAAAGGCTATTCATACACTCTACCCGAGACAGGTATCGTAATGAAGGTAGTAGATAGCTCAGACTTTATCTCAATCTATATTTTATAGATGGGCACATGTGTGTTGGGGACATACAGAATCTGGTAAGTCTTGTGGGAGCTGAGGTAATGAATGCAGTGGAGAGCCTGTGAGATCAGGGCCAATGCGATGACATCACGGTGAGGGAACACAAAAGACAGACACTTTGACAGGCATGTGTGACTGACTCTGGGAGGGAGCTCTGACCTCAGAAAGGGCTTGTCTTACAGTGCCTGGCTGTGGGGTCTTATTAGCCTCTTATCATTTCATTTCAATTTCAGAAGGAGAGCTGTTACTTGAGGAGTGCTGGGGACAGCCAAAAGCTAATGATTGTACCAAGAGGTGTTCTAGAACTTTCAAATGTGTGTACAGAAATCACACATGCTGCTGGACCTACTGTGGTAACATCTGTGCAGAAATTGGGGTGAGCTGCAGACGTTGGGGCGATTGTCTTTATTGATGTCACCCTCTACCTCAGACTGTTATTCCTCAACAGAAGACCAAAGTTTCCCAAATCTGAGGCACACACAAGACCCCCACACAGACAATACTCATACACACACAGAGACCCCCACACAAGACTCCCACACAGACAAACACTCATATACACAGAAAGACAGACACAGACGTATACACAGACATACCTAGATACACCAAGACACACACAGACATACATAGACACATCCACGTACCCCTCCCATAGACATGTATAGATAACACAATAGAGATAGACATACACACGGACATATAATTATGTACACAGAGACATACATAGATACATCCCACATTCCCAAACATGTATAGACATGCACATGCAGACACATACACACAGACATACACTTAAACCACTGCCCCCCACAGACAGAAACACACACACACACAAACACACACACACACACACACACACGCACATGCGCGCATGTGGAGGGAGGAAAAGAGTGAGAAAGAGGGAAGGAAGGAGGGAGGGAGGGAGGGAGAGAGAGAGATGTCCTCCAAACTGGGAAAGCAATTCACTGATACACACAGCTTTTTTGCAGCCTGGGGGGGGGGTGTCTCTCTGTGTAGCTCTGACTGTCCTGGAACTCACTCTGTGGACCAGGCTGGCCTTAAACTCACAGAGATCTGCCTGCCTCTGCCTCCCGAGTGCTAAGATGAAAGGCCTGCCTTTTTAAAATGCCTGTTTCCTAGTTCATCTGCATTTGCAACCACTGACTCCATCAATAGACTTTTCTGTGGGTACACCGGGCTCAGCCGCGTTTCTCAGTGCCCCGAAGTGGACAGGTCATGGTGTCTGTCAGCCATGGGGTGACAGTCAGTGGGAGCCACACATTGAGGGTGGATGCTTGTGTCTCAGAAATATCATTTCTCTAAGAATCTAAACGTTCTCTGTTTATAGAAGTTTTTTGAAAGAAAGAAGTGAGCTTGCCTTGTCACTGGCCCAGCCTGGTGTGAGCTCCAGACGGCAGTTAGAGACTTCAGAGCCAGGCTGCATCGTTACTTTTAGAAACATTGTGTTTATTGGTGGGTAAAAGGCAATGTACTTGAAAAATAAACCACTTGCCAACAGTTGGACTTCAGTGTTTCTTTTCTTTCCTCTTCTTCACATTACTATTTCCCCTGAATATCTTGCTTTAAAATGATTTGTTCTTTTACAATTTCACATTATAAATCATATTATTTGATCCATGTCCCCTTATTACCATCTCTTACTTCCTCTCCATTCCCATCGAATCCCTTCTTCTTTCAAAGTCCTTCTCCTACTTTGTTTTTCGAGACAGGGTTTCTCTGTGTAGCTTTGGAGCCTGTCCTGGAACTCACTCTATAGACCAGGTTAGCCTCAAACACAGAGATCCACCTGCCTCTGCCTCCTGAGTGCTGGGATTAAAAGTGTGCACCACCACACCAGGTTCCTCTCCTACTCTTGATTGTACTTCTAACAATTCCTAATTGAAGGCAGGATTTAAATGAGTCCACCAGACCCAAGATAAATGATAAACGGGTATTTATTTGGGAAGCACTTACACAAATAAGAGTAAATAACCACCTCAGTCTTTCTGCTCCAGAAGACGAAGTCTCTGCCTTTCTGATGCTCTCCACAATCTAAGAGAGTGTGAGCCAGCCCCTCCTCTACCTTACAGTATGTTATGTCTGCACCTAAAACCACGCCCAAAGGGTGTGGCCACCACAAGTTCACTGGCAAGGCAAAATGCCATTACAATTCTCCTTTTGCATCCCCTAATACAAAAACTATATTCAATGATAACAAGTATCTGGTATATTCCAGGAGAGGAAAGGCAAGAAGGTATACAAATTAAGACATACAACAGGCAAGAGCAACATTGAGCAACAGAAACATTCTACATGTCCAGTCCCAGGGTAATGGCATGTAACAGAGATTACTCGAATAGCTGCCCAAATCTGGAAAGTCTAAGTCTTGTACCTAGTTTTTTTCTATCTAAGATAAGAGAGGATATTAGCTGTGACTGTCTAGTCTTCAACCTCATGAAAGACCCGAGAAGGAAAATAACATTACTGGGCAAGCAGGAAGGGCAAGCATGGGACTTCCTAAAGATGCAAGCAAAGACAGAAACAGCAGGCTCCCTGGACTGTCACCCAAGGTCTCACAGTAACACTGGGGCACCTAACTTTAATTTTTCCACCTTATGTGGCTTAGGATTTACAAGCTACTCTTATGGACTTTCTCAGGTACCATTTTAATATGAGGAATCGGCAAGTGGCCCATTTTATTTCATTTGCTTTAAAAAGAGCAGGTTTTTCATAATTTTTATTTTGGTTATTTGGTAGCAATTCTTTATGATCCATTAAATGAAGTAAATAGATGTATGAGTACCTGGCCCATGACAGCATCCAGGTTTCTAACTAATGGGGAGACGTTTACAACGAAGCCTTCGTCAACAGCTGGAGACTTCCCACTATGCTAGCCATCCTTAGTGGCAGCGGGCCCCAGGGTGGCCTGGTTTCTTGCTTGTACAAATAAAGTCTGTCTGAAGATCAGAGGGTGGAGCTTGCCACTAGCTACCATCGAGGCCTGGAGATCTGTACAGACAGACAGAAGTGAGATGACTGGCCGGGAGAAGACATGAGCGGGAAGAAACAGGAACTTGTTCTCTTGTCCTCTGAGAGGCTAAGGAGGTAGAGGTGGCTTTGTCTTGCTCCTTTTTCTTTCTGATCTCATCATTTTCCTCTAAATCTGACTCCAGGTTTAGACCAATTAAGAACTCCCTTTTACAGGTCTAATTATTAGGCAAGCACTGTGGACCTAGGCTTCGTGATGTCTTATACAGATACTTCCTATAGTATCCCAGCATGGTATGCTAGACACTTTGCCCCAAGGCCACAACTTCAGATGGATCCTTTAACTCTACCTTGGACACGAGGGAAACACCATATATTAAGGATCCAGGACAGCCTGGATGACTTTCTTTGTACTTGTTTCAGGACCAGGTCAACCCCAAGGCCCTGAGCTTCAGGCTTGTGCTAGGCCAGCCCCCCCTCTATTATTTGGCCAAGTTGGCCTCTAAACTCCAGGCTCTAGACCATTGTTAATACCAGGTTGTTGTTTTTTCTAGGCATAAGGCCACAGCAGCATGAGACTGACCCTCCCACCTCTGGTTAGCACCTCTGGTCCCAGTGTGTAGGCTATCTGCATCCATACAGGATGCAGGCCCACCCAGTTTTAAGCTACTTTCTGGCTGCAGGTTTCAGTAATATTTCATGAAATTCCAGTAGCCATGGCTTTAAATACCACTTGGGCACCTGCACCTACACAACATCCAAGCCATACAGCCTATACCCCTTGACCTCAGCAATCCCATATCCCTGAAGACTCAAGTCTCAAACCTGTCTCTAGATTTCAGAGATGAACCCAGGCTCTACAACTACACATAATGTATCTTAGGTACAGGCAGGCTCCAAAGAACCCAGTATTCAGGCTGGCTATTGCCTCTAGATCCTCATCTGAACACACAGTCTTTAGCCAAGCACCAGAGATACAGCTACAAGAAATACCCGATGATTCCAGGTTCTAGCCCAGCAGAGCTTGAGCCTACCATACCTTATCTTGAGTAGATACAAAACTCCAAACAAAATACTAACAAACCAACTCTCACATGGAAAAAAGATCATTCTTTTTTTAAAATTTTTATTTTATTTATTTTTCTTATTTTACATATCGATCTCAGTTCCCTCTCCCTCCTTTCCTTCCTCCCTCTCCCCCCTCCCTCCCTCCCTTCCTCCCTCCCTCTTTCTCTCTCTCTCCCACCCTTTCATGTCTCCCAACCCAGCTTCCCATCCCATCCCCCCCCACTCCACATGTAGGGTGATGTCTTCCGGGTGTGGGGGGGTAATCAAAATCTGTCATATTATTTGGAGTAGGGACTAGGCCCTCCCTCCTGCCTCTAGGTTAAGGGAGTATCCCTCCATGGGGAATGTGTTCCCAAAGTCCTTTTGTGCACCAGGGATACATCCTGGTTCCTCTGTCTGAGGTCCCTTAGACTGCCCAGGCCTTCTAGCTGAGACCCATGGTCAGGGGGACTGAGTCGGTCCAATGCTGGATTCCCAGCTATCAGTCTGGGGGCCCGTTAGCTCCTCCTTGTTCAGGTCAGCTGTCTCTGTGGGTTTCTGGTCTTGTCCTCACTCTCTGCATCTGGATTCCAGTTCGGCTCAGTGTTTAGCTGTGAGAGGGCCTCCTACTTTCTGCGTTTTTGTTTTGTTTTTTTAAATCTCTACCTGTATGGTGCATGCAGGTCTTTCTATCCCCAAGGCAAGGGATGTCCTCTTCAGCACTGCGGCATGCTGTACATGAGCGACCTGTTGTGGGAAGTTTGGGTTTGTGCGTTGGAGCCTCCTGGAATCAGAGTGGGACTCAAAGGACAAACGAGAGAGAGAGAGAGAGAGAGAGAGAGAGAGGAGAAGAGATATTGGCTCCAAGGAGGGCACATGTGGGGACCCCACTGAGTTTCAGTGATCACTAACAGTTGGCACAACATTTATTCTGGTTTATTTACGAGTGGCAAGGGGGAAAATGATGAGGAGGGTATGGTGGGAGCCATATCTCCTTCAAACGATCTGCGGGAGAAGGGCTCATCCTTCAGAAAGGGAATGTCATGGGAAGTATTAGGCTCTTCCCACACTTGATCGTCCAACATGTTCACGCAAACATTCCCACACGTCGTTGAACAGCATATGTTATTTGCTTGGCAGTCTTGGTTAGCTTCACAGAGGTGCTTACACAGATACAATTTTGGCTTCCTCTCACACTCCCTGATAACAGGCTGACCTTGTGTTACTGAAAAGAACAGCAAGAACAGGACCATGAATAGAATGGCTGCCCAGAGAGAATCCCTCCCAGGCTTAATGTTCTTTCAATTGGTGAAGTCCCACTCACAACACGCCTGGGTTTTCCAGGCATCTTTCTTTGTGCTGATCACCAGGACAGCCTATAGAAACCTGAGACGTTTCTCAGACCCTCTGAACTCTCCAGAGTTTGCAGGACCAACAAGGGAGACAGATCAGCCCCTGGCCTTCTGCTTCCTTTGCTACGGATCTTTCCAGTATTCTGTCCCTTTTACAGTTTATCTTTTATTGTCAGCCCTGCCTCAGACGGCAAGTTCATCCTACTCCTTCACATTCAATGTCTTTTGTTTCTGCGCCCATGCCCATTTCTATACTCCATGAGCATCTCTGCACACTCACCCTTCCCAACTATGCATCAATCAAGAACAATTGTCTTGTCTGCCCAGTGGACGTTTAGCCTTGGGGCCCCTTTTGTCACAGTAGGGATCATTTGCCTCTGGATCTTTGGAACAAAGTGGAGGAAACTGCAGGTTCACTCTCCACCTCATCACTATGTCTAGCTCTAGGAACCAGAGCCGAGGCTCTGAGATCACCAGGGGCCGGGGCAGTGCTGTGGAGGAGCAGGGCATGCAGTGGTGTCACTTCTGTGCCCGTTCTCAGTTCCCTCCTTGCCTGCTACCCTCCTAATCCAACCACCTTACCTGCATATTGTTTCAGTTTCCGGTGGATCCCTCCCCGAGTTAGTGAGGACAGCAACAGCAGAGCAACGATGAGCAGCAGAGCCCTGGACAACATGGCTCCTAGCAGAGCCACCAGGGAGCTCAGAGCTGGTCTGGATGGCAGACTTCCACCTCACAGGATGAGGGCTCACTGCTGCCTCTGCTGGCCACACCAGGGCAGAGCAACAACCGGCCTATCTGTTTCCCTTTTCTTGCCCCCTGGTCTGTTCGGCGCAGCCTCCCTCAGAAGATAACCACTTTCGAAGTATCAGCCCTCTTTTCTTGCTAACATAATTCCCATAATTATGAAACACAATTATGAGTTAGGGCTCAGGAGATGGCTCAGGAGTTGGCCCGGAAGCGAATGTCTGTAAGCCTGAACGGGGAGAGATGGTACAGCAGGTAGATCCCAGGGTCTTGCTGGGCTGCCTGGAGTGGAAAATGAGTGCCAGGTTTGGCGAGAGACTGTGACATCTACTGCTAGTCTCCATATGCACAAGTGTACACATGTATGTACACGCATGCATGCACTACACACATGAAGAGAAATACACAATTTATTTTCGTTTCTTAATTAGGAAAGATTTTACTGAATGAAGAAGAGGAAATTATAATTAAGAAGACTATAAACAGACTCATCTTTTAAAAGATGAACTTATGTATTTGATGTGTGCCTGTGTGTGTCTGTGTAACACAGGACACCAGGACATCAGATTCCCCCCAAACTAGAGTTACAAGCAGTTGTGAACTGCCTAATACAGGTGCTGGAGCAGAACCTGGGTTCTCTACAAGAGCAGCAAGTGCTCATAACCATTGACGCTCCTCTCCAGCTTGTGTTACCCCTCAGTGTTACCCCTCAGTCTCTTCGCCCACATTTGGCTCAGTCATTTTTGTTACCTGCCTTCCAATTTTTTTTTTAATTTAATCATGTAACTGTTTCACAAAATGCCTTTCCACAATTGCCCTGCTTCCATTTAAATCACACATACTGTCAAGTATTTGTTCCGATGTGCACCGTTCTGCAAAGTAGCGGAGACTGGGTGAGGTGGTACAAGGAAGGGTTGAGCTCAGGCTGAAGAGGGACCAGGGAGGTGCTAACTCTGCATACTCAGATCCATCTACAGCACTGTGACTTCTGTTCATAGATCCTTGACTTTTAAAACATTTTCTCTTTATCCTCTGACAACTTCATACCTATATATGGTGTGTAGTCATCCACCATTCCCAACCCTCTCCTTGTACTGCTTCTGAATTCTCAGCCCCCAATACGTCCACCCCTCTCTCTCTCCCTCTCTCTCTCTCTCTCTCTCTGCATACCAGGGAACCTACCTATCTCTGGTGAGGCTCCACCTCTTAAAGGTTGCATCACTCTTACCATTGCTACTCTGGGGACCACGACTCCAGCACGGGAACCTTGGGGAACAAACTACAAACCATAGCAGGTACCATTTTCCTCGCCGTCAATTTCCCTTCAGTGTGTTCTCACACTGTTGTCCTTGGCTTTCCAAACCCAGGCCTCTGTCTTTGCACCGGCTCATCCTCCTTGGTCACCAACTCTGTGGAGTCTTAGCATATACTTCCCGCTGCTCAGAGCACCGGTGCAACACGGGAGGAGCTTCACACAGAGACATCTGTTGCTACATAAAGTAATCCTGTAGGCCAAGTGAGAGGGGCCTGCTCTTTGAGAGTGCTTGGCCTCTTCATGCGTGCGTGTGTGTGTGTGTGTGTGTGTGTGTGTGTGTGTGTGTGTGTGTGTGAGAGAGAGAGAGAGAGAGGTCCCATGCTTGCACAGCAAGCCCCCTTGCCCACTCACTGTGCCATCCCTCCAGCTCCTCTGTTTCTCTTTGATATTTGCTGAAATCTCTCCACCCACCAAGCAACAACTCTGCAGCAAGATCTCGACTTGAGGCTTGATCACTCCACTTCCTTCGTTTGCTAGATGGCCATCTAGCGTTTATGAAAGCCCAGTATCCTCACCTACGTGAAACATGGAGGACATCTGTGGCAGCCTGTACTTTGATGGTCAAGGGAGAACCGATACCAAGCAGGGTGCTATGTTAAAGGCTGTTGTGAGGCAGCCCTGTAATTCTAGCGTTCAGGAGGCTGAGGCAAGGGGACTGCCATGAGCCCCAGGCAAGCCTGGGTTACAGAGAGACCACTTCTCACACCACCACTGTCGCCAACACGGACAGCTGCCTTTGACTCCGTCCCTGTGGGTGAGCTCAGATGTTTCAAAGAAGGCTCTGCGCCGTGTGGCTGAGGACCTTCTGAATTGGAACTGGGATTGTAGAGCAGGCACACGCTGTCCCCAGCCCACCTAGAGGCACCATCTGTGCTAACACAGTCCCGTGCTTTCTGGTGGAAAAGTGCCAAAGGAAGAGTCTGTGATATGGCGCCTCATAAAAACGTAAAACTCTGCCACCACAAAAGCCACCCTGACGTTTAGGCCGCAGAACGTCTGCGTTCCTGCTTTTCTGTGCTCCCTTCCAGGTCTGGACAAAAGGGCTGCCAGAGCGTTCTCACAAGCACCCATGCAAGGGCGAGTGTGAGAGTCTTGAGGCACGAGCTTTATTTGTGGCTGGTTTAGTCTAGTGATGTGGGTGATGGTGCCCTTTTTTGTTCAAGCAAGAAAACTGAAAAAAAAAAAAAAAAAAGAGGTGACATGATTGACATATCCAAGACTGAGTGGGAGAGGTGTTCTGGGTCTGACGTGAGGAGGACTTGGGCAGGATCTCGGTTCCCTTATCTGGGCTGATTTAGAATACAGAAAGTGTGCAAGGAAGGGCATTGGGCATTACCAGGACCCTGAGAGCCTTTAGGGGACCGAAGTGTTAAAGTAGGAATGAGGTATTAGGGGGCTGGAGAGGTTGTTCAGTGGGTAAGGTCCCAGACCACTCTTCCAGAGGACTAGAGTTCTGTTCCAAGCACCCACGTAGGGTGGCTCACAACCATCTGTAACTCCAGGAACCCAACACTTCTTTCCTATGCACACACATGCATGCAACACACATATGTAAGGTAAAATAAAAATAAATATATCTTTTAAAAAAGAATCAGGTCTTAGATGAGTATTGCTCTCAACATTGGCTAGAGAGACTTCTGTAGTGGGCTGTGGTTACGGCAGAGACCCAACTGATTAGTGTTGAGAAGTAACTGTTGAGTGCTTAGCCCTAAATGGGACATTTATATCAATACCCACACCCCAAGGTGTGGAGGAAGGGGAGGCTGAAGGAATGTAAGATATGGAGCTCTGTGAACTACTGTCTTCTGGACACTACATAGCCAGCCCATGCCATTAGGCTCATGAGTTCACTGCTGGGATGGTACCCACACAGGGCCAAGCCAACCATACCAATCAACATCCCAGCATCCACACTGCTTAGATTCGGTGGGCCCTCCCTGACCCAGAAAAGGAGAGTGTATAAAGATGGGAAGATGTGTCAAGGGAGTGGGAGAGGGATCTGGGGGTGGATATGGTTAAGATATGTTGTGCACTTTTAGGCAATTGCTAAAGAGTAAGAGAAAGATGGAGACGAAGCTGGGGAGATTGTGTTACAGCTCTTAGGGGAAAGGCTTCCTCACTGCAAGTGTTACAGCTCTGCTGAGGTCAGGGGAGGTTTCCCAAAAGTGTTACAGCTCTGAAGGGAAAGGTATTCTGGCAGTCAGGAGCCAAGGGTTATCACAAAGTCACGCCACACAGCAAAGCTTACATAGAGATTTATTGGGAGTGAAGAACCCAGGAGCGTGGCTGCCTCTGTTTGGGTGAGAAACAGCAGAGAACTGAGCAGATGACAGCATTTATATATGATTTCTCAGGGGTGGGGTGGAGCTTTTCAGGTTGGGGATTGGTGGGATTTCAAGTAAGTCAGAGTGTTCTGTGGGGAGAACCTGGCAATTGGAAGACCCCCAAACACAGGGTCCGGCTACTCAAGCCTTGAGGGGCTTACAGAAATGACTCAGTAGATGAGAAAATTGGAGGTGGGCTCCCAGCCCCCACACCAGGCAGCAGCTCAGGGGCTCTGGTGTCACTTACAGTCATTGCAGGTACTGGCATGAATGTGAACACCCCCCCAAACATAAATAAACTAAATGCAAATATTTAAAAAATACAGAGGAAAAAGGAAGACTGTCTTTAAATGAGATGATCCGTAACTCTGGTCTAGGATAGTTTTTAATATAAACAAACGACTTGGGAGAACCCACCACTTTCAGTGTGCTGTGTCACTGCACACATCTTTCTTTTTTATGCCAGATGAGGCACCAGGAGCCCACACCACACTCTGCATGTCCTCACCCAGTTGGCTCATGCCTCACCCCCCCCCACCCCAGCCTGGAAGTGGACAACAGAGCATATTGCACACCGGCCTTGCCATGCAGTGCTGGTTTCATGGGATCAGAAGACCCTTCCCCCAGATCCTCAGGGAATGAAAAGCCTGGCATTGCCAGCTGATTGTCCTATTGCAAGTGACTTATCTGGGAGGTTTCTGGAAGCTGGCTTACTTACATAGTTTCCCCATGGCCTGAAGCTGCCCAGTGGTCCATGGAGTCTCAGAGTCTCATCATGTCCGTCATCTGGCCACACTGAGGCAAGACAGTAGGATGTGGGTTCTGACGGAAGAAGCCTGGAGAGCACATACGAGTGTCTTAGCGTGGAAGCTGGATGGGGCTGGAGAGATGGCTCAGCAGTTAAGAGCACTGGCTGTTCTTCCAGTACCCACAGGATGGCCCATAACTGTCCGTAATTCTAATTCCAGGGCATCCAACATTGTCTTCTGTCCTCTGCAAGCACCAGACATATAAGCAAAATGTCCATACATATAAAATAAAAATTATAAAAAAGAGTGAAAGCTGACAAGCATGATTGTTTGTAATTTCCATGTCCTGTGGTCATGGATGCATGTGTATATGTGCGTGATATGTGTACACATGTGTTTGTGTGTGTTCATGTACATAGGCCTCGGGAAATTTTATCTTTTATTCTTCCAAAGATTTTAATTTTATTTCCTAATTAAGTGTATGGGAGGCATGCACACATGAATTCAGATGCCCTCAAGGCAAAAATAGGGCATGAGATCCTCTGGAGCTGGAATTACAGGAGGTTGTGGGCCACATGGATGTTAGGAATTGAACTCAGGTCCTCTGGAAGGGCAGTATGTGCTTTTAATCTCAAAGTCATTGGTTTTATACTTGATTTCCTGCAGAGACTTTTTGGTAGATGCTTGCAGTTAAGCATTGGTCTGTAGAACATTTTATGATGGTGGACATGTCCTATGAACTGTCTGTGCCTTGGCTCTAACTTATTAAGTGCCTGAAATCACTAAAAATTGACACTCGACTTCCATTTAATTTAAATAGTCTTATGTAGCTGACAACCACTATGTTAGACAGTGATAACAGTTGTTGACATTCAGTTACCTAGAGTAGTGTGTTTATTAGCATGGCACCAAGATATTAGTTGAATAAAAAAGAACAGGGAGAACAGAGCATGCAACTTTAACAACACACAGTGGCATCTTTAGAAAACACACACAAAAGTGACTAAAACATTACACTGTGGCATATTTGAAAAAACAAAAGTACTGCTATTGTTGTACAAACACACACACAGATGTGCGCATGTGTGTTTTATTGAGCATTAACATATTACATATGTTTCTAGATAAGATAGCAGGACATTTGACATATCTAATTTCACGAAATAATGGATATACACATATACTGGTGGTCATCAGATAGAGGAATTACTGATATTTCTCTGTCTCCTCTTTGTATTTTGTTCTTTAAAAATTACACCAATCTAAGGAGCCCTCATTTTCCTTAGAGAAAGCAATGTGCTATAAACGGAAGCAGTTTTTCAAAGGAAGGGGTGTGTCATGTGAGACGAGAAGTAGCCCGAGGGAGACCGATGGCTAGTGAGGGAGTTGGCATACATGTGGGGACCAGAGGGACAGGAAGGGCCGGATACAGAGTAAACCAGCATGTCGGTCTCTTTCTTGCCCAGTTTCCCTTCATTTCTTTTCTGCTTCCAGCAGCAGTGGATGAAGATCTGTTCTCCTGTAAACACCACACGTCTGCCATGAGACTCCAGACCCTCCTCCTCTCTGTGTCCATCCATGGGATGGTGGTGTTTCTGTATGTTCTGGGAAGCTTCAATAAACATGGTAACAATGACAGTATAACAATGGGGGGAGGGGGCTCTGTCCACTCCTGGCATATCTGTCATAGCTGACTTTGGGCCCGCATTTTTAAAATCAGTCTTCAGAATGTCAGGCACTAACAACCAGAGTTTGATCGCAGGGATGTACAGTGGAGAGAACTCTCAAAAGCTGTCCTCTGGCCTCCATACGTGTATGCCATGACACACACATGCCTCCACATGCATGCATACACCATTGGCCTTCACACGTGTGTGCCTTGGTACCTGCATGCCTACACCCAAATGCATACACCACGCATACACACACTACAAAAATCTTTGAAAATCCCAGCTAGATTACATTGGATGCTTCCTATCTAGTGCCCCTTCAAACTCTCTGTGCATCTCTGAAAGCAATTCCGGGTGTGTGGGAAGAGAGCAAAGCCCTTTCTACATCCCACAGAGCACGAGGAAACATAATTTTCCACCAGATCAGCTCAGTTAAAGTAAAGGAGACACTAACACCAGGTTTCTCTTTGAGCTCCTAGTCCCCAAATCTCTGTGCTTTGGCTAGTGAGATGTTGATGAGAAACTCAATGGTGATATTACTCACATCCATTTTGTTTGAGAGCAGTTAGGGCCTGAAAATATGTATGATAAGGAGACGAGAGTGAGAAGGACTGAGCAGGAAAGTTTCAGGACACCGAGAGTGTGGATTTTAGGGGAGGGAGTGTAAACTTCAGTGGCTATTGATGGGGAGCAAATAGAAAAGTAGAAAATGAGATTCCTACTGCCTTTGGCTCAGTTTTCCCATTCTGTACCTGCTGGGCACAGAATTCAGAACTCGATGAGGTTGCAGCCTCTGAAGTCTAAACTTCATGTTGGGAAGGCACCCCTTCTGAGCTTTAGGACCCAGAATCCCACAGTGCTCTGGTGGCATCTGGGAGGAAGGAATGGCTATCATAAAAGGGTGCTTTCTTGTGGAGACTGGTTAGTATTGGAGGGATTCTCATGGACAGCCTCTGCTGTCCTGGATCCTTCCTGGCACAGGGTATCCAAGTTCCAGAAGGGTTTGCTCTGTCTGAAGTTCCAGAAGGGCTTATGCTTCACATTATGAGGAAGTAGACCCTGCCAATCTCTGGCATCTCAATTCCAGATGAGGCTGAAGAAATTGACCAGTGCTGGGTACAGCCTCCAACAAGGTTCTGTGGAAAAAGGTGCACGAGGGTGCAGAGATGTGTGACCCCAAACCACACCTGCTGCTGGACATACTGTGGAAACATCTGCTTGGACAACGAGTGAGTGGCTTGGGCTGAGAAGGGGAGGGTGTGGGCAGGCTTCACTTCTGCTCCTCACACAGTGTTCGACCCACCATTTAGAGATTGCAGGAGATGGCAGTCATCTGAATTCTGGTCACAGAAACAGTCAGATAAAGCAAGAACCTCCTGTCTCCAAATCCAGGTCACCATTCACAGAGACGAGACACTGACATGGGGTCTGGCTATTTTCTTCCACCAATCTCACTCAGTTTCTTTGCTGTTTGTACAACATCACCCACCAGTTCATATGTCTGCCCTTTGTCCAAAAGACCCAATCACCGCTTCCTTTTTCTCAGCCAGGCCCTAGAAGACCTTGTACTCACCTGTCTTCTCAATCAGAAAACCTATTGGGAAAATTGCTTTAATTTGTTTTAAAGTTTATTTATTTAGTGTATGCACACTCACATGTGTCACTGTGTGTGTGTGTGTGTGTGTGTGTGTGTGTGTGTGTGTGTGTGTGCATGTAGGTCAGAGGACAACTTGTGAGAGCTAGTTCTCTTTTCCTCTACCGTCTGGGTCCTTGGGATTGAACTTGGGTCAGACTTGGTGATATGTGCTTTAATCTGCTGAGCTGTATTGGTGCCTTAGAAAGTTGATTTCTGAGAGCAACTTCTGATGTAACAGAGAATTTCTGTTGCTTTCTGGAGCTTGGGTATTGTTGTTTGGGTATGGATTTATTCCCAGGGATAGTGATGTCTAACGATCTACTTTTTCTTTTCCAGAGAACCCTTTAAAACCCTGATGAAACTCTAGTTTCTGTGTGGCCCACACTGGTGTGGGCTGGGGCGTGACTGTGCCTGCGTCCCTATGGGGACACTCGGTCCAGCTGGGACCTCTCTGCTCTCTCTTTGATGTCTTCCCTCAGAGAAAGTCCAAGCTTTTGCCAAATAAATGGATACATCAGAATATGTCAGCACAAGGCTCTGTGGTTCTTGTATACTTTTTTCTTTAAGATGTGCATTTCTCTTGTTAGAAAGTCTTAGCAGTTGCTGCCATTCCACCATCACAGACCTCCCCTGTGTGTCAACCAATTACTGCAGCAAAAATACAAAGAGGTTTATAAAAGTTCCATAGAGTTGCCAAGCACGGTGGTGCACACGTGTAGTCCCAGCACTTGGGAGTCTCAGGCAGGAAGATTGTGCATTCAAGGTCACAATCGGCAACAAAAACAAATTCATGTGGCTGACAAATTAAGGAACATTTGTAACACATTTTCCCAAGTGTATTCAGCGGGCCGTTATGTACGCCACTGTTTAAAGATCTCCCGTCTGTAGCTGTCACCTTCCGGGACCTCGTTCTCTACCAGCAGATAGGAGAAATAAGGTAGTAGGGGGATTCATAAGAAATTTTCATGTAGCATGAATTCTATTTTGTCTTAATAATAAAAGCCCAGCGACAGATATTGGAGTGAAAGCTGAAGACCAGAGAAGCAAAGTGGCCAGCCACTAGAGAGTTCCCACCTCTACCAATGCTTGGACAGAAGGGGCGGTCCACCAAACCTCAGATTGCTCCCGACGGCACTGCTCCTCAGAGTCACTAAACTCCTGGCTCCTCCTGCCTCATATGCCTCTCTAATGCTGGGAATAAAGGCGTGGGATCCCAAATGCTGAGGTCACCTTTGTGTGAGCTCTGTTTTTCTTTTAGACTGGATGAATTTCAGTCTGCCTCTGTCTCCTGAGTGCTGGGATTAAAGGTGTGTGCCACCACTGCCTGGCTTCTATGGCTAACTAGTGTGGCTAGCTTTGCACTCTGATCTTCAGGCAAGCTTTGTTTATTACAGCATAGAGACAATGTCACCACATTTTAATTTTATTTTTAATTATGTGTATGTATGCATACATTCATGTATGTATGTGCCTGTGAGTGTGGGTGCCTATGGAGGTCAGAGGTGTCAGATCTGGTAGAGCTGGAGCTCAGGGTGTTGTAAGCCACCTAACATGGGCACTGGAGTGTTCCAGTGTTCTGGAAAAGCAGTGACCTCTGACCACTAAGACGCCTCTCCAGCCCCATGTGATAAGGTTTTTAGGGGCTGGGTCTAGAACTGAAGTTTGTCGTTTGTTTTAGTTCACCATTTGTCTACATTCTGGTAACTGTATAACTATACAATTCTGCCTTTTTGCAAATGAGACTGGGAAATGCAGTCCACTTGGGTTCCCCAAGAGCAGAAAATAGGATTTGGTGAACACTCAGAAGTTCAGTGACTTATATATTCATAAAAAGCCATACTCCTCAACAAACACCCAAAACTCCATCATTTATCTGACAGAACAAGCTCCATTTCTGGTAAGAAGATAGTGTATTTGGTCATTTGAGGAAATACTCCTGCCTTTGAGATGGGTACCATGAGCTTGCAGAAGGGGCTTCTCTTTCTACTGTGCCTAGTCAGGTCCTGCCCTTCGGTCTTCCCTGGGCAACCATGCTCATCTCCCAACTCATGTAGTCTGGACTTTGCTGCCTGTGTTGCTTCTCTGGATTATGTTTGCATGTGATTTGACCTAGATGAGAGTAGGAAGGATGAACACCTTCCAAACACTCAACCTTATGTCTCTCTCTGGAACAGAGAGCAAGGTGTGTGTGTGTGTGTGTGTGTGTGTGTGTGTGTGTGTGTATCTGTAGGGAGGCTTGACATTGATGTCAGATGTCTTCCTCAACCACTCTCTACCTTGTTCATTGAGGCAAGGTCTCTCAACTGAATCCCAGAGCTGTCTGATTCCGTTAGTCCGGCTGCCAACCTTGCTCCTGCCTCCACTTCCTGAATCTGGCATTACAGGCAGCTTCCATAAACACCAGGTTCTGGTCCTTGGGCTGCTACCACCAGCTCTTTACCCACTGAGTCATCTCCCCGGCTCAAGACAGTCTTTCCCAGATGGGTGAGTCAGACGGTTGCTTCTGTCTACTTTACATCCCGAGGAGAAGCTTGCAGTGTTGTTCAGCAGAGACCAATGCCAGGCAAACCGGTGAGGGCCTTAGAACTCAGGGGGACAAAGCAGGACAATGGATGGTTCAGGGGCACAAGAAATGAGGGAGAGAGGTTCTGAAGCCCCCTGAAGGGACATGGCGGCTCCTTCCTGATACAAAGTAGGGAACAGAAGGTGAGATGTGCTGGGAAAGGAAGGGTCATCCTCAGTTGGGGTTGGGCATTCTGCATCAGCATCAGGCTCTTTTCCTGCCTTTATTCATCATGTCTGAGTCATGAGGGCTGGCTGCAAAGGAGAGAAGATGTAGGTTGGTCAACATCAGCAAAAGAGTAATTTGGCACAGTTAGTGGATGAACAGAGAAATAAAATTAATGTCACGCACAGAGGAATTATTTCCCAAGTGTAAACAATACTGAAATCTTGTCATTTTCAGGAAAATGGACAAAACTAGAGGATGTGGAAATGAAAAGAAATTAATGAAGACATTCCGAAAGAAGAGGTGGTCTAAAGGGCTGGGAAGAGGGAGGAAAACAGAAGGGGAAGGAAGGCATGACACATGCGTGTATGCAAGTGTAACAATAAGTATCATTACATATACATCTCATATGCATTAATAATTATGGATTCTGTGCAATAATTATTAATTCATATTGACATGAATTAATAGTTATGGATTCTGAGCAGAGCAGTTGAACACCTGAGGGTCCAAAGGAGATGGGCATGCGGACAGCACAGTTCCTTAGCCAGGGACAACGACACCCACACAAGGGTTGTGGATGGAATACCTTGAGAGTCAACTAAGATTTCAGCCCCACTGCCTGGAGATCTGGTCAGCTGAGGCTCCATCAAATGCCTGCAAGTGTGGAACAAATAAACAGGAGTGATACTAAAAACACGGCTTTGAATAGATGGGGGAAAACTGAAAGACAGCCAAAACAATGGAAAACAATTGAACTATCTCTGCAGAAGTAGTAATGGGGAAACTCGGGGACAAAGTAGAAACAAAGTCAGATGGTGAAATTCCTTTATTAGGGCATGCAGACCTGTGAAGGGGTTAAAGTTGACCATTCAGAGTGCGGTGCCAGAAAGATGCTGCACCAGTGAGCCTGGATCCCCCTCCAGAAGCCAATTCAGTATTAACAAACACAGAAAGCAGCTGAGAGGTATTTACCTGCCGGGCAATTGTGAAACGGGCACATCAGTGCTCCCAGGAGCACTCCCAGCACCCTCTCCTCAGGGTCTTCCCATGGCTCAGTGTGCACAACTTAGCAAACTGCCAGTCTGCAGCTTTTCCCTCAAGAGGAAAGGAGAAAACTGAAAAACTACTTCCAACACTCCAGACTGTTTAGGGGCTGCTCTAGGGTCTGGGCTTTGTTTCACATGTGCTACTGGAGTTCCACAGAACCACATATACCCTGTGGAAATGATGATTAGGATAGGATAGAAGATAGAGGATAGAGGATAGAGGGTATAGGGTATAGGATATAGGATATAGGATATAGGATATAGGATATAGGATATAGGATATAGGATATAGGATATAGGATATAGGATAGGATAGAATAGTATAGAATCAGAGCCATCCGGGCAGTCTCAGAAGATGGATAGTATAGCAGACAGACATTAGAGGGAGCCAGAGAATCATGTCCAGAGTTTAGGTTTGGGCTCAAGGTTCCCAATGGCTTCAGAGTCTATCATGGCGAGGGAGTCAGGAGAGGGTGAAAGGGATGGAGGGACATTGGAACAGGCTGCAGATGTGGCAGCTGGAACAGAAGCTGAAGGTTCACATCTTAAATCATAAGCTTGAATCAGAGAGAAACTAGCAATCGGGCAAGTCTTTTAACTCTCAAGTGACAGATTTCCTCCAAGAAGGCCAGACCTGCTAGACCTCTCCCAAACAGCACCACCAACCCAACCATGACCAAGCATTCAAATGCCTGAGACAATGGGGGACAATTCATTTAAACCACCACACAGCACCTTATCAGCAGATGAGTGGCAGGTGAGGAATTTCTGGCTTTGTGTGTATCTCAGACCAAATGTTTAAGGCTGAAAACCAAGAAGAGCAAACTTAAGAAAAACGTTAAAAAGCACCAGAACCCAGACCCAGAAAGACAAACATGGCATGTTCTCACCCGTGAGTCATAAAAGATAACCGCGCCGCGATCCACACACTCAGAGAGGCTATGTAACAAGACTGGCCCAAAGGGGGACACACAGATTTCCCTAGGAAGGAGAAATACAAGTCTCCTGGGCAAGCTACGGGCATATGGGGATAGGAACATGAGGGATCGGATTCGGGTGGGATTGAGGCAGAGATGTAGTTGTTTGTTTGTTTTTTACTCTTCGGGGGCCTTCCACCCAGCCCCCAAATAAATACACAGACTTAAAACAAAGAAGAGAAAAAGCAACAAAAGACAATACCTAAGAGCATGGGAAACCCCCAAACATTTAGAGAGACTAGGAGATAGATGACTCTCTGGTGAGCAGACAGATGGAGAGAGGGGCCATGGCCATGTAACAAAAGAAGTGAGTTTCCACGGTGGCCAGATGCTTCCTCACCCTCTCGATGGAGACAAAAGCGTGGCCACTTAAAGCAAAGGCCTTGCTGTTTTTTTTCTCCCAACAGCAGGCCCTGTGCTGGTGGACTGGCTCAACAAGCTCAAGGCTGGGACGGACAGGTACACAATGGTTGCCAGCTAATCAACCACCTTATCGTTCTTCAAACTGACCAACCCTAAATTGGGAGAGGAGAAGTCTTCAGAGCTTTAACCCCCAGCCCTGGAGATGTGACTGGATTCTTTGACTTTGCAGAGGGTCACTTTCTCTCTGTGT